TTTCTCATTCACCCTTATTTCTAAGGTGTAGCCCTTCAGGGTCCTAACTTGAATGTGGGGGAAGAGAATTTTCCCTTTTGCTCCTCTGAGCTATCAGGCTATTGGATACAGTTTAACCTCCAGCTTCCTCTTCTGAATTTCTGGGCTCACTCCTCTGAATTCCAGTCCTTTAATGGGTCTGAAAGCATTATCCTGTAAGCTCTTTGACCCTTTTAAGAAAGTCATTGCTTTTTTTGTTGTTGTTCTTTTTTTCTTTTCTTTTTTTTTTTGCTTCCCACGCATTGTATGAAAGTCATTTCTTATATTTTGTTCAACTCTATTACTTGTGTTCAGTGGGAGGGTTGATTCAAGTTATCTTAATGTGCCATAACTGAGATAGGAAGGTCTCTTGTTGGCTCCTTATGGGCAGAATTTACTTACAAATGACAATGACTGTTCATTTTTATCCAAGACTCAGACTCAGCCCCTAGTTCTATTTAAGCTCTGTGTTATATAGCTGTACTCACTTGTATAATTATGCACTTTTTGTAATTCAAAGGTTACATTTTCTGTGTGTGTGTGTGTGTGTGTGTGTGTGTAAATATAAGTAAATTACTTCCTGAATACTCAGCAATACTGTAAGTCTCTTCAACCTTGGGCAATTTCTTGACCTTAACAGTGGACAAGTTGATTGTATTTACATTTCAGCTAAAAATCGTGTCTCGAATGACTCTCAGAATATGAAATCCTTCCTTCCTAATTGCTATTGAAATTGGGATGCATAATATCAACTAAATTTTTTTCTCTTTCATGGAAAAGAATACTTTCCTAGTTATACTTTTACCATCACAACTTCTGTTGGTATAATATATAATATAATATATATTTATTCTGTGGGTATATTAATATATCTGCCATTGTGAAATAGAAAAAAGGAGGCAGTTCTGCCAAGATTCCTAGGTTTGCTGTCTTATGAGAGCTATCATATAACCTAATGAATGAACATAGTGCTTTACCAGTTACAAATTTTTTCCTTGTATGTAAGTTAATTCCCACAGCAGTCTTGTGGGGTAAGTATGTGATAGTTAGGTGTGATATTAAGCAAAGGATTATGAAACAGGGCCTACGAGAGGTTAAGTAACTTGTCTGTAGTCTCACACATGATGAATGGCGTATGTTCTTTGTCTATTACTATTACAACATTTTGTTTCAGCTATTGTGGCCACTTAACTCTTGCTTATAGATGCTCACTGACTTCCCAGTTTTATCATGTTGTGCTTTCTTCTTTAAGTCATATAATTTCATGACCTCATGACTTCTGTCCTGAAGATTGAGACAATTGCAAGATTATGCCTTCATATCCCATCTTCACTGCCCCCTACCCCACTCCATTTCCAGAGCATAGGCCCACCAGCTCTGAAATTTGCCAGCCTCTCTGCCCTGTTGGAAAGCTTGCTCTGTCACTAGTCCTTTCTCATCCCTATGTGTACAGTCCTTTTCCCTTTCTTTAGACATGCCTCAATTTTTCCAATTCTAAAAAAGATGTCTCTTTTTTTAACAATCATTTGCCATCTTTCTTGTCACTCTGATGGTTAAACTCAAACGTCCCTATTAACTCCCTTACTGGATATCTTCCGTAAGCCTTCCTTTCTTGCTTCTCCAATCACTCTTGATGAAATCCTAGCCAAAATCTTGTTTGCTTCATCCTTCTGAATCTTATGGAAGGCAAAGAATTTATCTGCCTCGTACCTCTTTCCTAGCAATAGAGTCAGTGCTCTTATACTTCTGGTGGTGATTCTGCTTCTGAGTGCTCCTCATATCTTGTTTTCAACATCGTTGTTTCAACATTCAATAACATTCTTGCTACTTGTTTGTAATGATAACCTTGAACAATTATCTTACGTTAGGTCTGTGAATGTCAAATACCCTTGTTTATTTGTGGAATATTCAGTTAGGTGGTGTTCAGTTAGTGTATGTTTTAGAGTATGAGGATGCCTTCTCCTCAAATTTAGTATTGCTCCGTTTTCTCTTCAGAACTAATTTTTTTAATCTCTATCTAAGGATTCTTTTCTTGAAAGTTCATTCATTAGGTTTCTTCCCTGTTCTACTCACAAATCTGTCATGATTTAAAACCAAAATCCTAAAAATTTCTTTCGGACATTTGCATTTTTCCCGTTCTCTCTCTCTTAATCCTGCATCTTTTCTGTTGTCTACTTTGATTATTTTTCTTCAGTAAAATTGTTTTACCCAAACCCATCTCTCCTCTCTCTGAACTTCTTTGTTATCAGGATACATACAGGGTGTGTTTTTTTCCCCACTGGTTCAAGAGGAAGCTTTAGGACAGGGTGTGGGCTTCACACTTTTCTGCTTTATCACTTATTGCAGTTTTCAATAAATATTTTAAAATAATGGTTTTGGCTTTTTAAAGATTTTACCTCTGGACTGCCTTAAGAAACCCCTTAGTAGTTTTATATCTCTAGCTGCTTTTTTCTGTGGTCTGCACAAAATAATTAAAATCATCATCTTTCAAGTATTGTTTTGAATATATTTTTTCTCCTTAAAGGACTCCTGTTAGTGATTCCTAGTTGATTATTTTTAACATTATTTGTGAACATTTCCAAATGTGCATGAATGAAAAGTTCAGTGAACATGTGATGCTATAGATGTCAACGTTTTACTGTACTTGTTTCATCTTTTCCCTACCCCTCTTTTTTGCTGAGAAAGCATATCCAAGACATAATTTTACCCCTAATTGTCTCTAAAGCACATTTTCTTACATAACTGTAATTCCATTATCATATACAGCATACCTAATAATAATTCCTTATTAGCATATACAATACAGTTGACCCTTGAACAAAGCAGGAGTTAGGGGTGCCGACCACCCCCCCGCACATGGTTGAAATCCACATATAACCTTTGACTCCCCCAAAACTTAACTACTAATAGCCTGTTGACCAAAAGCCTTACTAATAACATGAACAGTCAGTTAACATATATTATGTATGTTATATATGTTATGTATTGTATTCTTATAATAAAGTAAGCTAGAGAAAAGAACATTAAGAAAATCATAAGAGAATATATTTACTGTTGATTAAGTGGAAGTGGATCATCATAAAGGTCTTCATCCTTATCATCTTCACATTGAGTAGGTTGAGGAGGAAGAAGAGGAGGGTTTGCTCTTGCTGTGTCAGGGGTGTCAGAGGAGGTGGAAAGGGGGCCAGGAGAGGCAGGCACACTCAGTGTGACTTTTATTGAAAAAAATCTGTGTGTTGGAACCTGTGCAGTTCAAACCTGTACTGTTCAAGGGTCAACTGTACTTAGTCCATGCTCAAGTTTCCCTAGTCGTCTAAAAAAAATTCTTTTTTTGATAGTTTGTTTGAAACAGGATCTACTCTTAAGTTTCTCTTAATTCTCTTGTAATCTATAACAGTACCCTCTGCTTTTTTTCATGCTCAAAATGTCCCATACTGATGGGGTATTATCTAACTTGTTCCTTTATCCTCTGTATTTCATATGGGCTGGAAATTAGATCTGTATGCTTAATTAGATTCAGAATGGAATTTTTAAGAGGAGTGGGCAAGAATACTTGCCGTCACTTCATATTACATCGCATCTGGAGGTACATAATGTCTGGTCATTTCAGTTTAAGTGTTGCGACAGTTGATCAGAGGGTTCCGGTGGTGACAGCTTGATCCTTTCGTGAAGCCCAATTTTTCACCTAATGCTTTTATCATCCATTGATTACCAGTGGATGAATTAGTTATGTAATTAAGGGTTGCAAAATTATGAATTTTCTAATTTGGTTACTTCTGCCATTATTTGCTGAAATTTTTCTATATGGAAGAACTTTTTCTTCTTTCGCTAGGGCTGTTTGGTTAACCTGAAATATATAGTCATTTTTCGAGATGTTAAAATCCCCAGTTGGGAGCTGGGTGGGTGTGGTGGGCTCACACCTGTAATCCCAGCACTTTGGGAGGCTGAGGCGGGAGGATTGCTTGAGGTCAGGAGTTTGAGACCAGCCTGAGCAACATAGTGAGACCCTGTCTCTACAAAAAAATTTTAAAAATTAGCCGAGCATGGTGGTATGTGCCTGTAGTCCCAGCTACTCAGGAGGCTGAAGCAGGAGGATCACTTGAGCCCAGGAGTTCAAGGGTATAATGAGCTATGCTTGGGCCACTGTACTCCAGCCTGGGTGACAGAGCAAGACCCTGTCTCTTAAAAAAAGTCCCCAGTTGAGGAACCAAAAACAATACTTTCTTCTTTAACAAAAACTCTTGTATTATTTTACTAAGGCTTATGATGAAGTGATTTTCTTACTTTTTGAGGAAGTTAAAATTATTCCTGAAAGGTAGATTAGTGATTTCATGGGTTGGGTTATGGGGAGGGTCTCCCAATCCTGAGTGAGTAGGTCTAATTATATTGAGAACAGGTAAGGTAGCAGGAAAAAAACAGAAGAAAACACTATACATACCCCTTCACTGCTGCAGGATTGCAGTGGGGTGCTCGCTGGTTGTATGGGAATTTTAAAAGTTCCTCTCCTTTACCAGAGACTAAATCAGACTCACCATGGAGTCCTTTAAATTTTAAAGACCTATGGCCCTAAAAGGGCCTCAGCACAGTTTAATAATCAAATTCATTAAATTTTAATGACTAGTATATCTTGGGAAGCTGCAGGGACTCCTGATGGTTTGCCAGGGATGCAACTAAAGCTCCTCTTGCTAGCTTTCTCTGAAGCCAAAATCTCAGGAAAGCTTTATTCCTCCCTTCTACTGTTGTGAGCTCTGCCTTAGGCAGTAGAGATGACTGAGAGGGGAGAGAGTAGGGTGGCTCAGGCAGTCAGGAGAACTTTCTCTTAGTATTGATTAAACATAAACTTCATTTACTGAAATTTCATGTAGTAAAATGGCTACATGCTTTTCATGACCTTTTATTCGTACACTGTATGACTTGTTCACACTGTCTTCTTTAAACATTTCACAGTTTGAATCTTACCTTTTTGGCCTTTCATTTTTTAGTGTCTTCAGCCTTTTCTTCAAGTGTTTCACCGTGAATTATAGTGTGTCGAACTGGACAAGGTGTCTTAGTTGAAGTTTCACCAGTTGAAAAATTGGAGGTAAGGAGTGTATTTCTTTCTTGAAAACGAATCTGTATTGCTGTTAACATCTTTATACTTCCCCCCATTTATAATCCCATGTCTTTTGTGCATTTGAGAGCAAAGATGAAAAAATAAAAGATGTCCAGGTGATTTCATGTGTTTAGGTTTAGGCCCTAAATCAGGACCCTAAGGAGCTACTATTAGCTGTTTAGCAGTGGGATTTACAAGTTCTGTGGACAATCCATTTGCTATTAGAAACCTCACCAGCGAATGGAAGGGTGATTTAGCAGTTGATTTTGAATAAAAGGGGCTGATGCCACCCAGGTGCCAGATCCCTAGAGTTAGAGCTGTTGACGATTGAAAGACCTGCCTGAAGGAATAACTAGATATATGTAGATATGCAAATCTTCCAACTTCCTAGTTTTTATAATTTTTCTTATTCTCAAATCCATGTTCAGTAACTGAGTTGTACAGTTGGTAAATCTAGTATTATGAACAAATAAGGGTACAATTTTTTTAATGGTATCATAGGCATAATTCTTGCTTTGAGCCATTGGTAGGTCTGTATCAAAAAAAACTGTATAACAGTATCAGCTTTGATTTCCCGATAGTTTATTTTTCCATCTTATGAAAATGTTACCACTTTTTTTAACATCTGTCTCTTAGTATAATAACATATGTGAGTGTGGTGTTGTGAATGAAACACTGGACAAGATGTTATGAGGCCTGTTTAATAATCTTGCCTTTTAGCAAGTTTCTAACCCCTTTTAGCCTTCAATTCTTTTATAAAACAAGGGTTTGCATTGGAGTTGGATTTAGGGTTTCTCAGCTTCTGTACTATTGGCATCTTGGCCTGGATAATTCTTTATTGTCAAGGGCTGTCTTGTGCACTGTAGGATGTTTAGCAGCATCTCTAGCCTCTGCCCACAAGATGTCAATAGCACCTCTCCTTAGTATGACAACCAAAAATGTCTCCAGACATCGCCAAATGTTCCTTGCAGGGCAAAATCGCCTCCAGTTGAGAATCACTGGGTTAGATGATGTGTAGGGTTCCTTCCAGCCTTATAATTCTATTGTTTTTATTTTAAACAAAAAACCTACTTTTTGCAATGCAGCTTAAATGTCAGCTCTTTCATGAAGCTTTCCTTGGCTCTCCTTCTCTTTGTCCTACCTTAATTGTTGCTTTTTCTGACTACTTCTTACTATAGAACTTAATTCCTCTCTATTATAACTACCAGTGTGTTTCTCTCACTTTGAGGGCATGGACCTTCTGTATCCCTAAGTTCAGATTTTATTAAATAAATGAACAATGGATTCAGAAATATTATCAGGTTAGAAATTGTTAAATAAATCATTATAAATGGCATTTTTGTTAATCTTTCAAACTCTTCCACTAGGAAATTCCCATAATGTGATCTTGAATTTCTGAATTAAAGAGACTGATTATTTATTTTTTTATCTTTTAGATATAGTAGAAGGCAGGAGCCTCCTGTATGTATGTGAAGGAGCTACATGAACACATCTAGACTGCACTTGAAAGAAATAAAGTTACACAAAAATTCCTAATGTGATGCTATTTCAGGCTGGGTGTGGTGGCTCACGCCTGTAATCCTAGCACTCTGGGAGGCCAAGATGGGAGGATCGCTTGAGGTCAGGAGTTCGAGACCAGCCTGAACAAGAGCAAGAGCGAGACCCCATCTCTACTAAAAACAGAAAATTTAGCCAGGCGTGGTGGTGCACGCCTGTATTCCCAGCTACTCGGGAGGCTGAGGCAGGAGGATGGCTTGAGCTCAGGAGTTTAAGGTTGCTGTGAGCTAGGCTGATGCCACAGCACTCTAGCCGCGGGCAACAGAGTGAGGAATGAGACTCTGTCTCAAAAAAAAAAAAAAGCTATTTCAGCTTTCATATCTAAACGTTTCTCAAATAACTCTACTTTGTTTATTAATCAATTAGAAGGCTTCCATCTGTTCAGAAAAAAAGTAAAAAGGAAAGGTAGTAAATGCTTTTCTTACATAACCTAAATACCTCACCATTTTCTAAGTTAGTATTTCTCAAAGAAACCCACAGTAAGAAATACATTTTAACCGTGATCTAGTACATATGTGCATACCTGAAACAAGTGTTTTTTTGTGTGTTTTCTTTTTGTTCTTGAGACAGAGTCTTACTCTGTTACCCCAGGTAGAGTGCAGTGGCATCGTCATAGCTCACTGCAACCTCAAACTTCTGGGCTCAAGTGATCCTTCTGCCTCAGCCCCCTGAGTAGCTGAGACTACAAGTATGTGCCACCACTCCCGGCTAATTTTTTCTATTTTTTGTAGAGACAGGGTCTCATTCTTGCTCAGGCTAGTCTCAAACTCCTAACCAAGGGATCCTCCCACCTCAGCCTCCTAGAGTGCTAGGATTACAGGCATGAGCCACCATCCCTGACTGAAACAAGTTTTTCGAATTAGTATTTACCATTACTGTGTGTGAATTACTTTGATATTTTCTGTCATGTTTCTTTTTTTTCCCTTAAATAGTGATCATCACCCAATAAATTTATTATATTTAATACAATTTACTAATAGGTCACAACCCACCATTTGAGAAATTCTATTCTAAGTAAGCCAAGTAATAAAATGTAGAGATGATCTGCCTCTGATAGATGTCACTGATATGTTGCCCTGTCTTTCTTTTTAAATGATGTCATTTAGGAATTGACCCAAAAATACTTTGAAAGAACTTAACCACAACAATTAGATTTCCAGTTATTTTAAAGTCCTATATTTTGTCATTTATATTGAATAGTGTATATAAGGCACAATAGCTAAAAGAGCATGTTTGGTTCTTGGTCTTAAGATTTATGGTGATAAAACCTAGAGGAGAATAAAAAGTTAATAAATATATTATTTCAAGTGCCAAAAGTAATAATCAACACATAGTGACTTTCATAGGCATTTAGGAAGTGGAGAAAGCTGTGATGATTCAAGTTCATGGTAGATGGTAGAAAGTTAACATGAATGTGGGGTGAATTTTGCATTGTTATATCAGAGAGTAGAAAAAGCTATTACACCCGGTCGAAATAACATTCATATAGGTACACAGTGCTTCTTGCTCATACTTAATGGATAATCAAGATAAAGTAACCGAGAAATTAAAAAATAAGTATAGTAAAGTGTGAAAAACATATGATATAAACAGGGTATATTATTTTAGCTCTACTGTGGTTGTAAAATGAAGTTTACTCAAAAGATTAATTGGAAACTTTCATGTATGATAGCTCTGTTATAAGCCAATATTTGCCCTAAAATGGTAACGTTAACATTGAATTACTAGGTTTACTGAGAATGCAGATAATCTCTGAATGATGGGGGGAGAGAGTGTTCATCCTTCAAAATAAGTGAATAAGTTACTATTCTATGTATAAGTTGCCCTTCACAGAACAGAAATGGGTTATAGAGTAGTCAGCATTTTTTTAAAAAAGTTATATACTATTTCAGCAATGCAATTCGAAATTATATGCATGCTTCATAGGCCTGGGCTTAATCCTTTCTTCTCTAAATAGAATGGAGGGCTCAGAATGGTAAATCACAACCAGGTATACTACAAAAGCCTTAAGAAAATAAGCAGTGGACTATCTTTTTGTCTTTTTGAACTGCTGCTGTCTTCTGTGGGATAATGTAGAATTTAATTACTATAGAAGATATTTTTGACCTAAAAGAAAAGAAGATTCAGCTTGGGAAAGAGCCACCTACCCTAAAAGTGTGGTCTAGCATCCTATCTGCTGTTACTTTAAGGCACCAGAAGTCTACTAGTTTTTGTCACTTTCCATTGAGTTGGAAAATTAGCAAAAGGATAACCATCTTTTCATTTTCTCAGATTTCTAGACTACTGAAAAGAAGGTGCTTTCAGAGCTGGAGATGTGAATAAAACTCCTCTGCCAGGGCTCATAAACCATCTTGAGGTATTTTTTTTTTCTAATTTTAAATAGACTTTATTTTTTTAGAACAGTTTTAGTTTTACAGAAAAATTAAGAAGATAGTACAGAGAGTCCCTGTGTACCCTGCACCAGTTTCCACTGTTATTAACAGCTTATGTTATCATGATACATTTGTTACAATTAATGAACCAATATTGCAACATTATTAACTAAAGTCCACAGTTTATTCAGATTTCCTTAGTTTTTACCAAACATATTGTTTTCTGTTTCAGGATTCCATCCAGGAAACCATATCACATTTGGTTGTTATGTCTCCTTAAGCTCCTGTTGGTGGTGACAGTTTCTCAGACTTTCCTTGTTGTTGATGGCTTTGACAGTTTTGAGGAATGCTGATTAGGTATTTTATAGACTATCGCTCAATTGGGATTTGTCAGATGTTTTTCTCATGGTTAGGCAGGAGTTATGGATTTTTGGGGAGGAAGACCACAAAGATAAAGTGCCATTCTCACACTCTCATCACATCATATCAAGAGTACATACTGTCAGCATGACTTATCACTGTTGATATTGAGCTTGATCACCTGGTTGAGAAGGTGTTTGTCAGATTTCTCCACTGTAATCTTGTTTTAAACCGCTTTCTGTGTTGTGATGCTTGGAAAGAAGTCACTATATACAGGCTATACTTAAGAAGTAGGAGGTTATGCTCCATCTCCTGGAGGGTGAGTTATCTGCATAGATTATTTGGGATTCTTCTGCATGGGAGATTTGTCTCCCTCCCACTTATTTATTCATTCATTCAGTCAGTCATTTCTTTATATCAGCATGGGCTCATGGGTATTTATTTTATACTTTAGGTCATAATCCAGTGCTATTTTATTTATTTTGGTGTTCAGATTTTTCCAGCTTTGGCCATTAGGAGCTCTTTCAGTTGGCTCCTCACATGTGTTGTTTTGACGTGCCCCCATCATCATGGGATTTCTTCGTTTGAGTACTTCCTTACTTTCTGGCACCACAAGATGCTCCAGGTTCATCCTATATGTTCCCTTCCCAGTTCTAGAATCAGCTATTTCTTCATAGGGCCCTAGTTCCTTTTATTAAAGGGAGAATGCTATTGGAAATCAAGATCTGAGTGCTAGGTGTGCTCATTGCTATTGGAATGTTGTTGATTCTGTGCCCTCTCAGCTAAAATTCTGGTTATATAGTCTCTGTATATTTATGCATACCTATAAATATTTCTATATATAGGTGGCAGCTGACAAACAGATTCTTTTGGGGGAGTGTTAAGTTTAAATTAAATATGAATATACTTATATTTGTTTCTAGGGGCTATACTTGAAAGTGTTTTTGATTATATTTTAATATAAATATTGGTCTCAATATATCTCTTTTGAGAATATAACAGAATATGAGATAGATGGAGTAAATATGTGACTATTTCAAAGTGGTTTCCACTTGAATAAAAATCCTATAAAATGATTGTTTTATAAATTATTTGGAAAGCTCATTTAGGAAAATAATAACTATCATGTTCCTATCTCTCCTTTATTATTTAGTAGCACTTTTATATATATGCACGAAAACTCCTGGAACTGGGATTCTTACCTCTGCCAGTAAAAGATCATTTGTTATGTTCTATTAATAATATCAGCCACTTCTTGTTGCTATTTAACTTGAAGAATTTACACGCTAGTACAAAAACTTTTCTGTTTTAAAAGCATGGTTTGCTTTAAACTGTTAGGCATTATAACATCATCAGAGTCTTACCCAGTAGCCAGCAGTACAGGAGAGTAATGGTTAAGTTAAGAGCATACACTTCAAGTCTCTATCCCAGCTTTGCTACTTGTTAACTGTATGACTGCAAGCAAATTATCTACCCTCTCTAAACCTCTAGTTTTCTCATTTGTAAAATGTGGATGATAGTGTTAACCTCTCATGGATTATTTTGGGAATTAAGTGAGGTAAAGCACTTTGTACGGTGCCCAGGACATAGATATGGCTCAATAAATATCATCTAAAATCAAAACCTCCAAAGCAGCAAGAAAATGGATGAAAGTACCAAAGCTTTATGCTGGTATACATACTTTTTGTTGAACAGTTATTACTGAGGCAGACCAACCAGAAAAATAAGTGGTTCTTTTATTTTTTAATCTTAAAAGTCCTCTTAAGACAAGGTTAACTTTTCTTCAAACCTGGGAAATGCTCACCTCACCAATCTTAATATGCTAGCAGTGGCTGTCAGCCTGAGATAGTATTGCCTTTTTAGGGGCTGCTTGGGGGTGCTACTGGGATTTTATGGGAGGGGCCGGGATGCTGAGTACCTTTCTTGCCTGGGATAGTCTTGCATGATGAAGAATTATTGTGCCTCAAATTACTGAATCAATGGTATGCCATTGAGACACACTAGAGTAGACTGATACTTGCAGTAGTATCTTTAGACCTCTCTATAGAACACATTTCGGGTGTCACAAACCCAGCAGGCATTTAAATGAGTGAAGCTAGGCCAGGCCTAAGTGTCTGGGACCCCCTAGGGCATGTAGAGGAACTAGGCAAACTGTCCTTTCTAAATGGTACTTTAGCTTTAGCCATTTGTTGCCTGTAGTTGTTAGATCATCTGATTTTTCACAGAAAAGGTAGATATCTAAATTTTTATGTGAATTCTCCCTATTTTAAATGTAGCACAGCTTTTTTTTTTTTTTAACATGCTGCTGAGGCCAAACCAGGCAGATCTGTGGGCTGGATTCGGCCCACAGACCAGTGGTTTGCAACCTCTGATATAATTATTTTAGGAAGTAAGCTAAAATTCTGGCAGAGGTAAAACACTCTGGGCCATAAAGGCACCACTTTGTATAATTTGCTGAGCTCAGAAAAGACTGAGGAAACAAAGCACTAGGTGTCAATGTCATTTTCTAGAGTGTGGGGAATTGTGACATCAGAGCAGAGCTCTAGAGGAACTTTCTCTCTGATTGGGAGGAAGAATTCTGTTGGGAGAAATCCTAGCAGCTGCTTTTTCAGGAACAGAACCCACTGTGCCTTGAGGTGCCAGCACTCCTGAATTAGGGAGGTAGCTGTACCACTGAAGGAAGTCTCAGTGATTCCACTGCTAAGCATAGCATCTGGGCCCTTTAGTCACTGTATTACCTTTAAAAGAGGAGTCCTCACAAAGCTGACAGGCAATAAAGGCATCGCCCTGCACAATCTCTTGGTTCATGTAGCCCCTGGCCTATGTGATCGTACGGTTTATACCTTCAGTATTTATTCTTCCTTAATCTAGGGTTACTGCCTACACAGCTCCACAATCCACAGCTGTGGCCATCTGGGCTCCAGTGGGGGTGTTTCAAGGGTGTTCCAGGAGTTTGGTCACATCTGAGCCTAGCCTGTACAGCTTAGATACTGCTTGAGTCCTCTGGTTTTAAAGTGTCAAATCATCATCATTCAGCATTTTAATATTTAAAAAGCAGCACGTTATAATAATTGTCAAGAAACAAAGTAAATGTATATTTTGCATAGTAGTTGTTGAATATGTTGATATACATGGACAAGAATAGACTAGACTGTATGTTTTGATCTGCATCATAGCCACATCTATAATAAGACACTATATGACAGTGTTTTCATTTTAGTTTTCTGTAGGATTAAATACAAAAATACAGTATAGTAGTTTACTGTAAAACTTTTAGGTGTTTTTAAAAGAAACTTATTGGCTAGAATATTTTCTGTTTGTAAACTATCTGTTAGCTTAACCTCCCAGTAAGCAAAAGGGAAATTGCTTTTTTAAAAGAAGTATTTTAACATTATTACTGTGAAATACTAAATAATTTTCCATGTCAATTAGTGCTCATGTGAGTGAATGTTTGTAAAGTACAGAGTGCTAACCACTATTAAAATTACATACCATAATCCCTTAGGGAGAATTGTGTTTTTATCAGTTTAGATTCCTATTTGTTATGAAAAGTTGGTCTACTATTAATCATCTTTTTAGATGGTAGCCATTTTGTGGCTGTGTAAGCTGTTGGCCTCTATTTGAAAGATATTTTAATATCTTTCTTCAAAGGAAAGTATTTATAACCATTAAAAAAAAAAGGAAACTTCTTCCCTCTAGCTCTGCTGCTTGTGTGTCCTAAAACAGCTAACTTATTTGTACAAGAATTCTTTCCTCCCTCCTCAGTCCTCCACTTCCCCAACACACCTTTAGCTCCCTATTTGGATGGTAAACTCGATGAGGGTTTGCTGTCTTTTTTCTTAGCCAGTCAGAGAAAGGCACTCATCATTGGGAATGTCTCCGATACCTACCAGTGACATAGTGGAAAGAACAAACTTTGGAGAAGGCACGCTTGGATTTGAGTCACGATTTTGCCCTATGCTCATTCTTTGAGTTCATTGTCTTATTTGTAAAATGGGGATAATCATAACTACTTTTGAGGGCATAGTTATTCAGTAAGTGGTAGCTAATAATAGTGATAAAATTAATAGTAGCTTTGGACTCGATAGCACCTGAGGTCTCTGAAGACTAACAAAGCTAGCCAAGAGATGGGAGCTTGAAAGAGCTCTCAAGTATATGAGCCCATGCTCTTGACACCTGAAACCTGTCTGCCCTTGGTGACCCTTGTTGCCTTTTTTTCTGCCTCATAGAAAGATAACTGTGTTGCCCTTGTATTTTAAAGACGTGTAATTAGGATTGGGAAATGAATAAAACCATTTTTTGGAGCCACTAGGAAAGCTGGAGTTAAGCTTTTGGGTGCTTCAGAAGCTCTTTATTGAAGATTTCGTAGCCATGAAGTGTTCTGAATATTTGAGGTTAGCACCTCAAATATTGAGGGATCATTTAAGCTGCTCTCATTTCTGTAAATACAAGATTTGATTAGTTAAGGTCATCTCTACCATTAAATTCAATGAATTCCTTCCCTCCCCCCCCCATTTCTCCTAATGAGTATCTGTTGAATACCTATCCTGTGCTAGGCCCTATGCCTAGTCAATTGTATACCCTCAAAGGGGATACTGAATTAAGAAATCTAAGAGTTGTAGGTCTTAGCCTGTTATTTAAATAAAGATTCTAAGGCCTTGGAGCTGCATTGTGCACTAAAGTAGCTACTAACTATGGGTGGCTACTGAGCACTGGAGATGGGGCCAATCTGAATTGAGATGTGCTGTAAGTATAAAATACACACTGGATTTCAAGGATTTCATTTGAAAAAAATGTGTAAAATATCAATGATTTTTATGTTGATTACATGTTAAAACAATATTTTTGATGTATTGGGTTAAAATATGTTAAAATGTATTTCATCTGTTTCTTTTTACTTTTTAATGTGGCCAGAACATTTAAAATTATACATATGACTCGCATTATATTTTTATTGGACAGTGCTGCCTAAGAGCTTCAGTGGCTCGGTAAGGTTACTCATCTAGCTAGGGCTCCTTTGGCTAGTGCAAATTATAGATTGCTTTACTGTGAAAATGGCAGGTAATGTTTGTTTTGATCAAAAAGATGGATAATTCAAATGCTGTTTCAGAAAAAACTTAAACTACCACTAAGGGCTTTGGGATAATTTACATTTTATTAATAAATTAAAACCTAGATTGTAAATCTGGTAGAATCTCTTAGCATTTGAAATTTGGGATATTTTCAAAGGGACAAACTGGAAAAATGTACCCATTGATTTAGTAGCTTAAATCTATTTTTCTTTCCTAAGTATTCACAAATTGCCCTTACGTAGGTGATCTCTGCTCCCCCAATATTTGCTAGGGGCGGGGGGGTTGGTAGCAGTAGATAGGGAGGACAAGATTCATCTGAAAGGTTTATCTATGTGTTTTTCTTTGAATATAAATAGTGTTTTACCCAAAACTATCTTATTAGGTAGATTGGTTCAGCACAGTAAAATTGATTCATCATTTAACAGATAATTGAGCAGACACTGGGTTAGGCTCTGGCAGTGCAGTGGTGAATGAGGCATAGACTGTGAATAGAGCTACAAGCTTTTGTTTGGTTGGTTGGTTTTTGTTTTATTTTTACTCTTTGTTTGGAAATAATTTCAAACTTACAGAAATTGCAAGAATAAAAATAGGACAAAGAACACTATATATCCATTACTCGGATTCACCTGTTGTTAACATTTTTCCCTGTTTGCTTTATAGTTTCCTCCCTCTATACACACATATGTATGCATGTGCATACATGTTTGTACACAAACATATATATAATATAGATTTTTTCCTGACCTGTTTGAGAGTACGTTGCATGCCCTTTACCCCAAAATGCTTCATCATCTAATTCCTAAAAATAGGAACATTCTTGTATGTACCACAGCACGGTTATCAATTCAGTAAACTGAGTAGATTCAATACATTTAACATTAATAGACTACTTCTATCCTCCACATTTCATTTTTGTCAGTTGATCCATTAATTTCTTTTATAA